AGTGAACATGAGTTAAAAATATCCCAATCTTAGGACCGACATAGTCTGTTGGCTTTCCATTGAAATTAATACCCAAAAGAGGGTATGTGACTTCCATAAAGTCAACAGGTGATTGGTAGCAGACCTGCAAATGGCAGACAGTATAAAAAACAGTATTACCCCAGTAAGGGTGATAGAATCACGGTAAAAGTCAAATCGTAACATTTATTCACATATGCTACTTCTTAAGGCATAATACTGGGTGTGATGGCACACGTCTTTAATCCCAGCACCTGTGAAGCAGAGGCAGGCAGATCTCTGTGAGTTCAAGGCCAGCCTGGTCTACATCTACATAGCAAGTTCAAGGCCAACTGGGGCTGCAGGGAAACGCTGCCTCAGAAAAAAAAGAACAGAAAAGAAAGAAAACAAAGAAAAAAGAGAAAAAATTAAGGTATGCAGAGCTCCAAATATTCTAATTTGCAAAATAGCACACACCAAAATAACACAAGTCTAAAGGAGAGATGTGATAAGGAAGAGCTAGAGTGGTTGCCAATGCACTCTATAAGCAATACTGTTTTAAGTCATCTAGAGCAGGCCTTAAGAGAAGATTTAAGCTCTGCATTAAAGGACATGGAAGGTTTTTTTAAAAAAAAAAAAATTTACTTGCCTGTACATACATACATATGTTCATATGTATGTATGTGTGTCATGTGTATGCCTGGTGCCTGGAGAGGCCAGAGGAAGGTATCAAATCCCTTGGAACTGGAGTTAGATTGTTATCAGCTGCCATGTGTATATTTGGATCTGAACCCAGGTCCTCAGCAAGAGCAGCCAATGCTGTTTTGTAACAATTGAGCCATATTTCCAGCCCCACAAGTAATATTTCTAAAATCAAGGAAGTAAGAGGACTAATTAAACAAACTCAAACAGGAAAAAGAGCTCACAAGGGTACTAGGCTTGGGCTGGGGATAGGGAGTGGGTGGGATGAGCTATTTGAGTGAGTAGAGACATGCTGGCTGTATAACTTTTGAGCCTGAATGATGTGAAGGAACAAGGAATGTGACGATGGGAAGAAACAGAATCTTCTGAGCCTATAGAACCAAGCACAGAAAACCACTACATCAACTGTCTGAATATTTCACTCTACGGTTCTAACACAGAGAACTTAGTTCAGCGATAAAAGAATGGTGTATGAATTTCTGAGCCTGGATTTTCTGCAGCCCAGGTCTGGAATTTACTACATAGGGTAGGCTGGCTTTTAACAATCCTCTTGCCTCAGCCTGATTCTAGATTAATCCATAAATCCTTTCTGAGTCATTTCTTCATCAATAATTACTATACATGTAAGGCAAGTGTATGTGTTTCAGAAACAGAAATATATTAAAAATTAGCTAAAAAACACAGGAAGATGTAGGATGCAAAAAAAAAAAACCGAGTTATCTTTGCTGATACGCACATTAGTTCTAGTCTGTGTTTGTCTCTCTGGCTTCTCTCGTGCTTGCTGCAGATTTCTTCCCACACTGAGCTCTCTGCCATGGTAAGCAGAGCTTAAACCAGCGCTTAACACGGGCTTTTAGCATAAGCTGATCTATATGCCACTACTTCATTTTACTGTCTTTCAAGGATGTCTGTGTGAGTACACACTCAAACTTCCACACACTAGAGGGGCTCCTAAGACGACATAAATGTGAAAGTGAATGAAGTTCGGTGCGGAATAAACTCCATCTTCACGAGGACCGAACTACCGGGCAGGTGGCTTTGCAGGTCCTTCGTGGGAACCATAAGAGGAAGGGAAAAGGCTGAATCAGTCTGTCCAGCATCAAGTGCGGGGTCCACACTCCTCTGCAAGGTGGACTTTTTCCGGGTCTCCAGCCCTCAGGGGCTTTGCTCGAGGGGGAAGAGAAGCCAGCAGTCCCCAACGGAGACAGCATCCCCCGAGCAACCGTGGGCACAGCATCCCCTGAGCAACCGTGGGAACAGCATCCAAAGAGCTAGCGCCGGTACAGCTGGGAGGAAAGCTGGCTTTGTACCCCGGGGCTCCTGCACTGGCCGCGGGGAGCTCGGGCTCGGGAGCCGGGCCCTATAGAGGCCCAGGCTGGCGAGGTCAGCTCTGCAGCCCACCCGGGGGGACGGGGGGACCTAGGGCCGCCGAGCTGCATACGTCCAGGGGCTGCAGGGCGTCCGCAGCACAGCGGGAGCCGAGGGGCGCCGGAGCCGGACGGGAGCTCGGGCTCGGGAGCCGGGCCCTATAGAGGCCCAGGCTGGCGAGGTCAGCTCTGCAGCCCACCCGGGGGGACGGGGGGACCTAGGGCCGCCGAGCTGCATACGTCCAGGGGCTGCAGGGCGTCCGCAGCACAGCGGGAGCCGAGGGTCGCCGGAGCCGGACCCACCCCCTCCTCCCTCAGACCCAGGAGCTCACCCACCTGCTACTGCAGACCGCAAACCTCCACCCAGGCACGGCCTGCAGAGCTCCGGCCGCGATTGGCCTGCGCCGCCGTCCCGTTAGCTCGTCCTCAAGTGTGAGTGGCGTAAATGCTCTGGGACCGGCCTTGGTCCCGCCCTCCGATTTGCTCCGGAGCCACGCCCACGGAACGTCACGCTGTGCTGCAGGGCTAGGAGGTCGCTTGCTGAGTCTCCGCCCCCGCCGCGCTCGGAGCCCCACCAGCCTGATGACGTATGTCAGGCCCCGCCCCCTCCATAGACTGCGGAAAGGAGAGGTGGAGCCTGTTGTCGTAAAGGCTCCGTGCCCTTCTGCGCAGACGCCTGGGAAGAGGTGGGGCCTGGTGACCTGCCCTCGTGCCCTGACGCGGAGGAAAGGAGGTGGGTGGAGCCGGATAACGTAACGACGCCCGGTTCCCCACGCCCGGCTTTCCAATGCTCAGGGGCCAGAAAAAAGGGTGGAGACTGAAGACGAAGGCGCTGCCCCGTTGCGGTACGCAGGCGCGCGACCTAGGGGGCGTGGCCACGTCCGGGTCCACCGCCCAGGCTGGAGGAACGAAGGGGCGTGGTCACGTCTACGTCTGCACCGCAGGCTGGAGGAGCGAGGGGGCGTGGCCACGTCGACGCCCGCAGTGGAGGCCTGAGGAATCCGTGGGCCTGAGCGAGGTGCATGGTGTTCCCCGCCAAGCGGCTGTGTGTGCTGCCATCCATGGAGGGCGTGCGCTGGGCTTTCTCCTGCGGCACCTGGCTGCCCAGCCGAGCCGAGTGGCTGCTGGCTGTGCGGTCTATCCAGCCCGAGGAGAAGGAGCGCATCGGCCAGTTCGTGTTTGCCCGGGACGCCAAGGCGGCCATGGTACTGGGGGGCGGGGGGCTGGGCGCGGGGCTGCCAGCGGGGAGC